TTAAACGACTCCGGATCATCAGGTAACAATTCCAACAACGAAATGAAAGGAAAAATGTGATTAGAAATTGACGGGTAATGTAATTTTTGTAATTTAACAGGGGGGTGAGAGTGGTGGGTAAAGAGACAAGGTAGAGTATAGGGAGGGGTTAATTTCATATCTCTCTTAAGCATGCTTATATTGGGGTAGGAGGAGTTGCCGAACCTTGACCTATTTAGATGGTTAACTTAACGGAAATGATATGTAGGAATGGGAAGGGAGAAAAGAGAAAGAAAAAAGAGAGGAGACAGACGACAGTAATACCGATATATCCAAATGAGTGTTACGGCAAAGAGAGAGGGGGAGAGGGAAGTGAATCGAAAGAGGCTGTAATTTTGTTTTAACAAAATTATGTAAAAGATAGATTTCAATGCTTGATAGAAATTTAGATGTCTAAAAAATGATGAATGTTATCAATTTAAATATTTAATTTCATAAGTGAATAGTTTAGGGACTTAATATAAGTTAACTGCTATTATTATTAGCATATTTATTGAGAATATATAAAAGAAATATTTAAAATTATAATAGTTTATTTACCCGACCAATTGTATTTCCACAATATAGTAAGAAAATTACGGTAACAATAACATCTATATTATTTTTACTTTTAATCTAATTTATGAATGCAATTTTTATTTATTATTATATGGGTAAACTTAATTAAGGTTTAGGTTTCATTATTTAATAATATTTGAGGGTAATATTAAAGATTTTGTTTTCTTCTTATATGTATCTCACAAACATATTCATGCAAATCCATATATACATGCGTTTATTAACTTGCGCAAACACACACATAGACACACGTGTAACAATATACACAAATGTTCATCCATCTTCATACATAAATTATATATACATACATTTCTCAATCATTACCTATATTTTAATATTTGAAATTTATTTAGATTTTATTTTGATTCTATAGTTAAAGTTTAACTTTAGGTGACTTCTGAAATGCCTCATTATTAAAGGAATTTTGTTAATATTATTATTACTATTAATAGTTAAAGAGTGGTATATTTAAATTTAAATTATCAATTTTAAAATGAAACTCCCTTAAGAAGATAAAAATACACTCTCAAAATTCTAATTATAGAACATTAAAAGAGAAAGTGATATTAAATATTAAAAGGAGTAATTTTAAAATACCATTAGAATGACCCAAGTACTTCCATTTAAAACTATTCCATACACGATGAAGTTGAATTATTTCATCTGTATTCAACTTCAAAAACGGTTCCAAAATAATTCTGTCCTTAAATTCACATATGAACTCAATACTAATAATAAAATCCCCTTCCTTGACATATTGATAAACACAAATAATAACAAATTTACTATTTCACCATACAAAAAACCTACAAGCATAAATTCATGCACACTTAACTACAAGAGCGAATGCCCATATTACTACAAAATAGCAATTATAAAGAATCTAATACATCGTGCAGAAACTAATTCATCCACCAAACAGATTTTTTACAGTGAACTAAAGAATATAAAACAGACACTTATTAATAATAGCTTTCCAAACTATATAGTTGATGAACAAATAAGATGCTTTCTTAGAAATCTCAATAATAAGCAAATTGTACATAATACTGCTTCTACTGATCTCAAATATATTAATCTCCTATATCGTAATCAAATGCATACTAATTATAAACAAGATGAACACATACTAAAAAATTTAGTAAATTCTAATAAATTAACTACAGATCCTAGCAAAAAAATTAAATTAATCATATACTACACTAAATCTAGTATATCCAACTTAATACTTCGCAATGATTCTTCTCCCCCAGTTAGCGATTTGCAAAAAACCAACATAGTTTATAAATTCAAGTGCCCTTTGGGAGAGTGTATCTCCAACGAATTAAATAATATTTATGTTGGTCACACCACAAACTCGCTTTCACGACGCTTGACACTACATTTTAATGAAAACTCTAACATTTTTAGGCATTTAAAACAACATGCCTGCCCGCACACAATTCCGTAAAATACTTGTCGAAAACACAACTATACTTCGACATGAAAACAATAGACAAAAACTAAAAATACTTGAAGCATTATACATCAAACAGTTAAAACCCAACCTAAACAAAATCAATTATGGCATCTCTACAAATATTCTTAAATGTCTATAATTGGTAACAGAAGCCATTGGTTTATACCAACGGCTTTCCTTACTTCATTCTCCAATTCACTCTCGTGTGGTCATGTGTGACGTCATGAGATGCGGTGCGATTTTCGCTTCTAGCGTCTTATATGCGCGTGTTTATCGTTGCTTAGAGATTATCTATGTAAACAATGACAGACTATCATCACTGTCGTGTCCGTATATTGTTTAATATGTTTGTAATTTACATCTTTGATAATGGCTTAAGTAAGCCGAAAGCTTAGATTATATTAAAAAAATATGGATCAATATTGTGAATTTCTTTCTTCGTTTAATGATAATATTATCAAACTTATCAGATGTTACGAACAAATTTTACATAAAATAAATAGACAACACTTGTCTATATTATTTAATGAAACGTGTATAAATGAAAATATGCTGCCTAAATACACACAATATATAAACATGCATACATACTCATATACTTATATGTATTTACTTGGCTATTATTTCGTTTTCTTATTTGGTTTGGTGGTATCTTAAGTACTTAAAGTATTAATGTTGTGGTCCAGGTCCTTGTACCACGCTGATGGTCCAAGGTAGAACCAAAAAAAGAAGAACTCGAACACGGATATGGAATAACATAAATATATTACAAACAGGAATATATACATAGAAGTAGAAAGTGTTAGCACGAACAATCAGGTTTAGTAGGGAGAACAATGTAGTCTTGACCAGTATCACTATTCCAATGTCTCGTAGTAATTGTCTGAATGCGACTCTGTTTAGAATGCCTCTGACTCGACTGACTGGCTCGCTCGCTCTGACTGACTGACTGACTAACAGACTCCTGACGGACTTCTGACGGACCTCACTCCAGACTTCAGACTGAACTCTCTGCTTCCTCTTGAGGCGCAGTATTTATTACGTATGGAATAGTCCATTATGTTATTATGGGTAAGGTCCCATAACAATTAATTATATCAGTTTAGATTTATAATTAAATTTTTATTTATTATTGTTCGAATTTATGTGCATATGTCTGTATTTATAAACTTATGCATCCGCACACGTGTACATTCATACACGCGCGTATATAGTTATATGCATGTCCATATATATATATATATATATATATATATATATAAACGTGCGTACACAGGCACAGGTACACTTCTGTCTGTGCTTTGTTATTAATAAAGAAGTGCTTAAAAGGTGAAGTTATTTTTTTTCTATTTTTAGGGTATTATGGTTGGTTGGATTAATAGAATTTGTCATTTCAATATTTATACATAGAATATACTCCCACACGCACGCATATATTGTTAAAAAGTGTATATGTATTAAAATATGTATTTGCATATATCATATCTTATCGTTTATCTGATGTTTCATTTTTATTTAATGGTTAGAAGTTTATTTGTTTTTGTCTTGATATTATTGAGGTATTATGGGGGTAAGTTTGTTCGTTTTTAGGTGTTTGTATATATGTATATCTCTCTCTATATATATATATACATACATACGTATGTACGCATATAGGTGTGTATGTTAAATATTTGTTTATTTATTTATTGACAAATTACTTTTTAAAAGTTTATATTATATTTATTTCATTTATATTTATTTGTTTATTTCTTTTAGTGCTTAGACAGTAAAGTAAGTAATATTTTTAGATGCCTACATTTACCAATTATTTAATTGTGTATTTGAGTAGCAATCCCTCTTTTATACAAGATTATTAAAATCGACTGGCAAGGTACTGCGGTTAAGTGTTTTACTTACTTTTTCTTGTGTTCTTATAATTTTTATTTTTTATCCTTGATAATGGTTAAAAGAATAGCCGAAAACGCTTGGGCTTACAAAACATTCGGACAATTTTTACATGATTTATGTCCATAAAAGAAACAAAATTTAAGAACACAAGAAAAATTGAATAAAAGATTTAACCGCAATGCTGATCAGTCAATTTTAATGAAACTTATATATATATATATATATATATATATATATATATATATATATATATTATATATATATATTTAGTTGATGGATGTGAGTTTGTGACCCTGGGTTTCACGCTTTAGCGATCGTCAGACAAACTGATTAATGTTTTAAAAATTGGGTTTATGTAGATTGCGTGTATTGGTGTTATTGTGGAAGTGGTGGGGGAAACTTTGTCGTTTTGTCATTCATCGTACTAACGCAAACATCTCTGATATTGAGCGCTTTCTAATAAGTACCGCGCATATAATATATAAATAATTATACATATATATATATATATTTATATTTATATACACTTTTTCACATATATATATATATATATATATATATATATATATATATATATATATATATATATATATATATATATAGAGAGAGAGAGAGAGAGAGGAATCCCTATCACGACCGATTATTTTATTTGATTATGACTTCTGAAAGGCATTGGAGAATTTAACTTCCAACTCAGCCCAGAAATCAGAACAGTGGAAATTAGACAAACATGCATATATATATATATATATATATATATATATATATATATATATATATATATTATATATATATTCAGTTTATGAGTTTGTGACCCTGGGTTTCACGCTTTGACAAAATTGTCTAATGACCGCAAAAGCGTTAAACCCAGGGTCACAAACTCATATCTATTGAACGCTTTCCACTAAGTGCTGCGCATATAAAATAATATATATATATATATATATATATATATATATATATATATATATATATATATATATATATATATATATATAGAGAGAGAGCGAGAGAGAAATTGAGGTAAATATGAAAAGACTAAAATGGATACATTTCAGCGTCTTATGATTGGTAGAAACAGACTGGGTTGACAGATAGATAGATAGATAGATAGATAGATAGATAGATAGATAGATAGATAGATAGATAGATAGATAGATAAAGAACAGATTGAAATAGATATATAGATATGTACAGGGCAGATTCTGTACAATACATCTTTATGCAACTAAGATCATCTACTTTGAAAACATATTTCATGGTTAAACCGGTTTAAGGTGGAGAATAGCCCATAAATTGATGTGTTACGCCCACACAATGACTTCTCTTAATATATTAGAAGAAATTTTGACCTAAATGCCAGGTTAGTGAGTTTGCTTTTCTTGACTTTCTATAATTGCCGAGATAAAAAAAAAATATGGCGATAATTAACTTGCCACACCAATATAAACTCCAAAGCAGAAGATCAAACTAATTTCTAAATGCAGACGTGAAAACAAATTCCCTGTCCGCTACCTACAACTGCATTCTGACGATTGAGATTAAATTAAAATCACTTTAACTAATTCTAAGAAACTCTACTTCTAACATGAAAACATAGAATAATACAAAACTAATAAATATTTTAAAGGAATATAAGGAAAACGCAAAATGAGAGAAATGGTAATTATTTACTGAAACCTCCTGAAGAGTGGATTGATCAATTCCAAAAAGTTAATCCAGAGTCGAGGTGTACAATATAACAGCAATCAGCTGATAAATTTTATTAGTATTAATCACACACACACACACACATGGATATATATATATATATATATATATATATATATATATATATATATATATATATATTTGAAAAGATTCTTACAGGTACAAAATTTTATTATGGCAAGGAATAAGCGGAATGTAAAGGACATAATTATGAAAACTAAGAACTAAAACAAACAACCGGTTTCGTCCCAGTACTCCTCAAGTTTGATACACTGGGATTATTTAATCATAAATTTAAAAACAAAAAAAAAATTAAATGAGGGGGAAAGGGAAAAAAATTTTTTTTATATATGATAGAAAGAACTAGAGCCCAATCACATTCAAGCCCAACAAGCAATCTCTCTGCTTACAGAGAAACGGCCTGCGGGACTTGTTGCCGAAAATACATAAAGATGGTGCCCCATTACGGCCCATTTTATCTATGATTGGGTCGGCCCAGCATAAGGTTGCTGGTTGGCTCTCAATACTATTGCAACCTGTTTTGTTGCATTTTAGCACATACTGTGTTAAGGATTCATTTACATTTGTGGAATCTATACACAGTGTTCCCTCTAGCGGTGGTTTCATGTGCTCTTTTGATATTGTGTCTTTATTTACCCGTGTCCCTTTGTTAGGGATAGTGGAGATTTGTTGTGATATGTTATATCGCTCTTCTCTACGTCCTCCGGATTTTTCTGAGGGTATATTTAGAGAACTTATGAAGTTCGCCACTACGTCTGTAGAGTTTAGCTTTGGTGATATTATGTATCGTCAAATAGACGGTGTAGCGATGGGATCGCCTTTGGGTCCTACGCTTGCTAATATTTTTGTTGGTTTTCATGAGGTTTTACTGTTTTCACAAATTAATCGACCTCTGATGTATCATCGGTATGTTGATGATATTTTCTGCCTCTTTGATAATGAGGGTGAAGCCAATACCTTTTTCTCTGTATTAAATTCTGTTCATTCGTCCTTAGAATTTACCGTAGAAAAGGAGTCTAATTGTTGTCTTCCCTTTTTGGATGTTTTGGTCCGTAGAGGTGATGATGGCTATTGGACTTCAGTATTTAGGAAGGCTACCTTTTCAGGTTTATATGTCCGTTGGGACTCTTTTTGTCCACGTCAACGAAAAATTAATTTAATTAGAACGTTGACTTTTCGAGCCCTTAAAATTTGCTCAAATTCCTTCCTCTACGGTGAATTGGATTTTATAAAAATGACTCTTTCTAAAAATGGTTATCCGTTGGACATTTTGGATTCCATTATGCATGATGTCATTGATAAATTTAGTAAGGATAGAACGTATGTTGTTAAGAAATGTCCAATTTATTTACGACTTCCTTACATTGGCAGAGAAGGTGAAAGACTAGCAAGGCGAATTTCACATTCCGTTAGTAAGTGTTTTTATGCTGCTAATTTGAGAGTAATATTTTTTACTCGACCAATTCTTTCTTCTAGGCGCAAGGATTTTCTGCCTCCCCTTCATATTAATTCAGTTATATATAAATTTAAATGTGGTTGCGGATGTGACTACATAGGCAGAATGTCTCAGCGTTTGGATTTTAGAATTAAACAACATTTACCCCCCAGAATTTTAAATCCAGCCGCTAACAAAAGCCAACTAGTGAATACATCCGGGTCATCTATAGCGGAACACGCTATAACTAGCAGGGAATATGTTGCTGGTTTGAGTGTTGACTGTTTTTCCATTCTGGCGAAGTCACACTCTACATATCATTTGAAGGTTCTTGAGTCAGTTTACATCAAGTCCCGCAGGCCGTTTCTCTGTAAGCAGAGAGATTGCTTGTTGGGCTTGAATGTGATTGGGCTCTAGTTCTTTCTATCATATATAATTTTTTTTTTTTTCCCTTCCCGCCTCATTGAAATTTTTTTTTTTGTTTTTAAATTTATGATTAACTAATCCCAGTGTATCAAACTTGAGGAGTACTGGGACGAAACCGGTTGTTTGTTTTAGTTCTTAGTTTTCATAATTATGTCCTTTACATTCCGCTTATTCCTTGCCATAATATATATATATATATATATATATATATATATATATATATATTATATATAGAAAAACTAGGTAATCCGTATGGGTAAACCTAAGGAGGATAAAATTAAAGTAAAGTAAAGTCTGATGATCCGCAGTCCTTTTAAAAGCGCTGTGGTGAAATAATTTATTACATGGAAACTTAAAGTGGTCTGTTTATATATATATATATATATATATATATATATATATATATATATATATATATATATATATATATATATATATAATGACTGTTTTTTTGTTTTCTTTTAGTTTTCGCAGTTAAATTTTTATGTTTTGCAGGAACTCAGTCCACACCGGGGTTTATAAGACAGACGACCGATATCTTCATCTGCCGATATATGAGGTGATTTTAGATTTTATTGTTTATTATATATATATATATATATGTGTGTGTGTGTGTGTGCGTGTGTGTGTGTGATAAAACATACTTTTAAGCTATGCTACATTATGAGGTAAACGTGATCAATATCCGAGATTGAACGTGTGTAAATAAAGAGTAGACACTGAGACGACAGTGTTTCATGCTTGAGCGCAATCTTCAGTCTCTCTCTCTCTCTCTCTCTCTCTCTCTCTCTCTCTGTCTATATATATATATATATATATATATATATATATCGCACATTGAGCGCTGGTGTTGAACAAATTGTGCTCGATGTAGAATAACAGACCTATAAATTATACATTAATAATAAATGTACATTTTCCTCATCGGTAGCACAGCGTTGAGTTTTATGCACAACGCAAACTTCAGGTGCTGATTCAAAACTTACCGTTAAATACTTTAAATTTTGATATACAATATATATATATATATATATATATATATATATATATATATATATATATATATATAGGTAGTAATCTGTTGGTATAATCCAAGCGAGTCCTATTAACACAATATAGAATTTTAAATATTATATATTAAATATTAAAACTGACTCACTAAGAGCGCTCAATGTTTATTTTCATTAAACAGAGCAAATTATTTCATATAATTGGAATTAAGATACCATTAGTGAATTATCATTTTCATCCGCGAATTTTAAATTTTAAATTCACGTGATTTTTCAAACTGTTTATGGTGTCAGCTCTTCAACAAACTGACACCATAAACTAAACAGTTTGAAAAATTCTGTGAATTTTAAATTTCAAATTCGCGGGTGAAAATGATCATTCACTAATGGTATGTTAATTCCAACTGTATGATATATATATACAGAGCATTTACTTAAATATTTGTATCTATAAAAAGAATGTATAAACATAAAAATATCTTAAAAATAATTGTCGGACTTTGTCCATTTCATAATGTGTGACACACACACACACACACACACATATATATATATAAATGAAAAAAATCTTCTAACTCTAGATTCATAGATAAAAGAATCCATGCATTCAGTTAAAAGTAAAATAAAATCACTCTTGATAATAGCAAAATGTATAACCGAAAGCGCTTGGACCTATAGAACATTCAGACAATTTCTACATAATTTATGTCTAGAAAAAAAAATTATAAGAACACAAGAAATGTTAAATAAAAAAATAAACGGCAGTATCGTGAACTTCTGTATATATATATATATATATATATATATATATATATATATATATATATATATTTATTTATTTATTATAATTTTATCATTTAGACAAAACTATTTTACTCACTACAAAGATGCAACTTGGTTTCAGTGCATTTCAACTGCACTTCGACGGGTGAGAATCGAAAATGGTTATGAACAATCTTGCTTGTAGGCAAGCCGTATGTGAAAAGTTAGAATGCTGTGAACGTTGGAATTTATATATTACTTTCGTTCTCATCGCATCGGATATATATATATATATATATATATATATATATATATAATATATATATAAATGTAAAAGACAATAGAAAACTGTAATAGTTCCCGACGTTTCGTCCGACTTGGACTTTTTTCAAGGCGAGACGAAATGAATTTATTTAACAAAGTAACTAATAATAACAAAACAAAATGTCCTTTGCAACTGGAAGAATTTAGAGAACGCTATTTTCAGACTGTTAACTGAAAATTACCAGTGTGAAAATAGCGTTCTCCAAATTCTTCCAGTTGCTAAGGACATTTTTTTATTATTAGTTACTTTGTTTAATAAATTCATTTTGTTTTTTGCCTTGAAAAAGTCTACATCGGACGAAAGGCTTCGGCAACTATTACAGTTTTCCTATTGTCGTTTATATTTATAAATATTGTCTTTTTCTACAGGTTAACTCTGAGAAATTTTTCATATATATATATATATATATATATACATATGTTAATTCTTTTGAAATATATATATAGACGTATATATATATATATATATATAAATTCTTTAGAAATATATATATATATATATATATATATATACAGACATATATATTTATATACACACATCTATATTAATTCTTTTTATAACATATATATATATATATATATATATATATATATATATATATATATATATACATAAAACATTAGGCAGCTTATATTTATATACAAAAGAAATAATCACACATAGAATCAATCAGCAATATTAATGCTATTATTGGCGATATCTAATCGCTAGTAGAATATAATGTATGCATTAAAATACTGTTAATCCATAGAGTGATGTGATCCTCATTTATAAAACTGTTGTCGGTTGTTTCCAGTTTATATTTTTTTAAAATGCAAGTACTTTCGAATAATCCTTTATTCATCCTCGGGTATATTTTTTTCCTTATGTAATTAAAACTTGAAGACGAAATAATTGTTTGTAGACCGAAAGATGTAAATAAAAATTCTCACTTAAAATTTTGAAAAATTTAGCGTTGCGTCTTTGCACGTTCCGATATTGTACACAACCGTCAATAATAGCATATTCTAAAAAAAAATGTCATCTTTAGAGGTAGCTCGTCTTGGGCATGTGGTAGAGCCCGTCTCTCTCTTTCTCTCTCTCTTTCTTTCTCTCTCTCTCTCTCTCTCTCCAGGTCATATCACAGTCGACGCCCTCCAACTTGAAGGCTCGCTTTGGTCACAGACACGTAAGCATCGGTTCCATTGAGGAGAACCCTCCACTCTGGCATTTGACTTCAGTCTAGGAAGACCTCCACCCAGCGATGCCGTGTCATCTGGCTGCGTACATAGCTATGGAGCCAGTCCACCCCATTGTGCTAGACGACCGTTAATCTTACTGGAAGGTTCATTTTCCATTTTGACAGATTTTGTTTTAAAACCTGCTGAATATCTAGCCGCTTGTCGAACCAGATGTTATATACCGTACCTATGAACACTAATGGGTATGTCCCAATCATCATACATACGTTGCACACTGTTGTAAGTGGGGCTAATATGCGGTCTATGCTGGCAGCTTGAGCTATCTGCGTAGGAAGCTCTTGCCGTGTCAAAACCTCTGCCTTTGGGCCCAGAGGAGCCCAGGCGAGGCTATGTCGAAGGGCAGAATCTAGTCCGGGGAGGTAGACAGATACCTGATCTACGTATGCGGGGTCTACGGGCAATTTTTGCCCGAGCCCACGGACTCGGACTTCCCCACATTAAATTTGGCCTTGCGCCGCATCCTACCTCGTGAGGAGGCAGGTAAATATAGTAATATGCTAATTAGTCCACCAGTAGCAGTTGTTTACCTACTTCACGCCGCTGGCGAGTATTGTATTTTGTTGATGCTATAAAGATTACAATGTCATTTCCAACCTCCGTGTTGGTTATTCCTCATTCAGTAGCCCTTCCTAGGTTACAACTCCAGGAAAGACTGGTGGGGGAATCGGTTGGGGAGAATCAGTTTAGTTGACCTTCAGGCGGGTAATGCCGGGTTACATTATACCAGCGGCACTCGTAGACATGCCATAAATGAACCGAATTGTCTTTCGATTCGGAAAGAATAAATGAAACCGAAATGAAATCTAAAATCACAATTGATATTGACGCGCCTTGAAACAGATGCCGATAAACAAAAGAATGAAAATAAAAAAAAAAGCTCTCCGTTACTCTCCACTCCTTACTCTCTATTCCAGTACATTTCGCACCGAGTGACCGACAGAATTTCCACAAGGGATGGCGATGATTTAAAAGGTGTGCTAATCTTAACTTTACTGTAGATGACCTTGCGATCAAGGCACTCTATAGACGTTGTAGTGAATTATTTTCTCCTTTGGTCAAAGTAGCATATTTTATCGGTTAGATTATATTGAAAACAAAAAAATTAATTTAAAATTTCCAGCATCCCTTGTCCGTGCGCATGTGTAGTCGCACCAACATAACAAATTAAGTCCGATGAGGTCTTAAAGGACGAAACGTGTCACACGAAAAATTGATATTGGCACGCTTTGAAACAGATGCTGATAAACAAAAGAATGAAAATAAAAAAAAGCTCTCCGTTACTCTCCACTCCTTACTCTCTATTCCAGCAGCTTTCGCACCGACTGACCGACAGAATTTCCTCAAGGGACGGCAGTGATTTAAAAAGGTATGCTAATCTTAACAGTTCTCTAGTCAAGTAGAAAGTACTTACATTTTGGCACGGAAACAAGGTCGTGTGCACAGCTGGTCAAAAAAATCGAAGAAATTAATTTTTCGATTTTGTAAAGAAATGTGGACAAACATGGATAAACGTGCCCGTATTAAGACGTAGGGTCAAAGGGACAGTTTTTTTTTCCCATGATAACGCTGTTATTTTACTAACTTAATTCTTCAGCAATGTTTATTGTTTTAAAAGGCAATGATTAGAATTGGAATAAAACCTAAACATATGATGAAAGTGAATTTATACAGTTTTTCTTTTCTTGAGAATTTACAACAAAAATATTAAACACTAGATTGTTTATTTACAAGAATAATTTTATATTTAAAACATTCTAAAACCTATTAAAATTAAAACTAACGCAGTGCAATATTTATCATTTACTAATTTATAAAGAAAGAAATATGAAAACAATTTTTTAATCGTAAATTTACAAACATTTACTAAGTTATGAAAATATGTGAAGCAACTCTAAGGAAATCCTTATTATTTACCATTTTATAAAGTTCGAATCGATTGGCAATTAGTCATTGTTTTGCCAACCATTCCAATAAAGAATCTAATAAATAAATAATGTTTATTATTTTTGTTGTCACTTCTCAAGAACAAAGAAACTGTATAAACTCACGTTCATGGATTTAGCTTTTATTACAATTCTAATCAATTGCACAGAGACCGAACGGCCACACCTGTCCATGGCACTGATGACGATGATGAATTAATATAATTGCAATTCGGAAAGATCTACAGTCTAACTATGAAAAGAAATTGCGCATTAGAAATTTATTTTTCAACATTATCTTCTTCCGTGTCAATGCACTTAGTTCAGTAGATTATTATCAATAATTATTCAAGAAGCAGAAATGTACCTGAGGAGGCGTCTGCAAAAGAAATTAATTACCCAGTCCATTAGACGAGCATACTTGGGAACGAGTTATATATATATATATATATATATATATATATATATATATATATAGAGAGAGAGAGAGAGAGAGAGAGAGAGAGAGAGATAATGGACATAGATAGATAGATAGATAGATAGATAGATAGATAGATAGATGGCTGATATAGACAGATAACATACTGAATGACATAGATAGAGAGAAAGAGAGATAATGGACATACTGAGATAGATAGATAGATAGATAGATAGAGAGAGAGAGAGAGAGAGAGAGATTTGTACCAACAAAGATTCGTCATGTGGCTAAAATTATAAAATTTGTATGGTAATTTACTACACCCGCATGGACTCTCCCAGCTATAAATAAGAGCAGGTACTGCTTTTTGGAGAGGGAATATTCCAGCAGTCATCTCTGACAATCGGACCGAACATTCTTGCTGTAATACTCTCGTTTTTATATGTTTGTATTACTGTTTCTATTAATATATTTGTTTAACTCAATTCCTCTCTTTGTATGTTTATTTCTGGCCCTAACAAGGCCACAACATTATATATATATATATATATATATATATATATAGAGAGAGAGAGAGAGAGAGAGAGAGGAAGTGAAGTAAATGCAAAAAGAGTGAGATAGATAGATAGAGAGAGAGAGAGAGATGGACATACTGTGATAGATAGATAGATAGATAGATAGATAGATAGATAGATAGATAGATTTGCTACAACAAAGATTAGTCATGTAGCTAAAATTATAAATTTTTTATGTTAATTTATTCACACACGCATGGACACTCCCTGCTATAAGTAGGAGCAGGAAAAGGAAGTTTCCAGCAGTCAGCTCCGACAGTCGGACCGAACATTCTTGCTGTAACACTCTCGTTTGTATATGTTTGTATTACTGTTTCTGTCAATATATTTGTTTAAATCAATTTCTCTCTTTGTGTCTTTATTTCTGGCCCTAACAAGGCCACAACAAAAATTGAAAATAGAATTTTCTTTTTCTCCTCCATATTTCATTCTCTGGTGAAGCCTTAATAAAAGTGAAACATGTTAGATTTATAAACGTTTCTTATTTGTTCCTTATTCTATTATAGGGATACTAAAACGATTATCTCCCTTTGAAGGAGATAAGTCACATGGGTAACGTGAAGGAATGCGTAGTGACGTCACTCCATACAGTAACGAAAGCGTTAGTCAATTTCAGTTCGTTTTACAGCTGTGAAATCGAAAGTTTATTTTTATTTATTTTTTTTTTTAGAAAATATGACCCGGGCAGAGGCTAAATCTGCCTTCCCCAGCAGCTTACAAGTCTATGGTGACGTTTCCTTTTGGAAATATATCTTTCCCGGATATAGAATGAAACTCCGGCTCGCAGTCCTCAATTTGGGAAAACTCGAACAACATTGCCGAACCGAGTTAACCCGAACGGAATCATTTCTGAGTCGAGCGCCATGTTGTCTACATTTGTATACATTTGTTTTTCTACTGTGAAAGCCATTTTTAAAGAAAAAAAGAAAAGTTAAGAGAGAAAAACAATCTTCGTTTTGGAGTCCTCATGGCTCCAAAGAAAGTTAAATCTGAAAGAAAAAAAAAAAATCATTAGTGTCTACTATTGAAACACCCTATATATATATATATATGTGTGTGTGCATGTGTGTGTGTGTGTGTGTGTGTGTGTGTAAATAGGATATAAATCCTACAATATTTTGAAGGAATTTGACAAATGGAAAACCATTTCATTGAAACTAGATTTGAACTGAAATCAGATTCAAAAATGAAAAAAAGAAATGTGTGTACATATTTATGACTAAATAATTTTCTTTTGTCAGAATGGTGCTTCTCTTGCTGAAAGAAAAGAATGAAAGAATGAGTCACTTTTAAAAAGCCGTTCATATTTATTCTATTGTTCATGTCGATTATTAATATTTTTCGTGTTTTTCCAGTTGAATTTTGAAACTTTAAAGATTTTGATTGTTAAATCTGAAACCAAAGAAAATCTGAAAGAAAAAAAAATTCATTAGACGCTTAGACTTAATTCACATTTAAAATCAGTCCAAGTTATTGGAACACCCTTTAAGCAGAAATTTATTTGAAATTTTGTGTCTGGATAGGTTTAGGTCTTTCTTATAAGTACAGTGCAACCTCAGTTCTCGAACGTCTTACATGTCGAACAAATCGGTTTTCCAACAGAAAATTCAAAATGAAAAATACCTCAGTTATCGAACAAAATTTCAGTTCTTGAACAACATTGCCTAACCGAATTAACCCGAACGGAATAATTTCTGAATCGACCGCCGTGTTGTATACATTCGTTTATTGTAGCGTGTTTTTCTTTTCCAATTTTATTGTACTGTGACATTTCTTTTTTCTCATTGATTCTTATTGGAAAAATAGTTTCGGTTTATGTTATACCAGAACATTACCTATTCTATTGTAATAGACTCTCCCACAGATAATAAGTAATAGTAGCAGTGGCCAGTTGAGCTCAGTGGAGTTGAGTGAGTCAGTCGATGTCGGACCTTAAAGTATCAACCATCACAACTAGATTGCTGCGTCATTAATTATTATTGCAAGTTCCTAACGTTTTGTACGTCGGACCGTTTTAGGACCGACTTAGCGAAATACAAGCCTCCACTGTGAAAACTACTCTACAACAGTTTACAAACATTTCGGGATACGAACGGCCTTCAGGAAAGAATTAAATTCGTGAACCGAGGTTCTACTGTATATTCTTAAGCTCCGATGAGCCAAAGTTTTTTTTTTCTGGTTTGAATCCCATTTGGGTTTATAAGCCAATAAAAGCTGATTTCTTGTACACCGATGTCAGAATGTAATCCTGAATCTGATCCTGAAAGAAAGAGCATTCTTGTTCTCCGTCCCGTATATGAAGTGCAAAACAGCAATGTGTTAAGTGCTTGATACAACACCCCCAGCCTCGACCTCATTATCGAACGCACAAAAGGTGACATCTACAGTGTGGTGAAGATAAATCCGGATTTTTTACGAGACAACAGCGCCGTGACGTCACAGTGTAGCGAGATTTCGAGAGTGGGAAGGGAGAACTCAACGCCGCCGACTCAACACCACCAACACCACCATGACAACTCAGGACCGAAACAACTGAACACCTGAAAAACATACCTTTTTTTTTATAACCCAATAAAAGTAATTTACCGTAATTAGTGAATATTTTTCTTCAAATAAGGCATTCGAAAAGGCATTGTGTAAAATATGAACTCGTTTTTTGCTTTTAATTTTTTTTAAATCGCAAAGAAATTTATGTTTTAATAAAGTCAATCGAAGAAATAATTCAATAAAACACACTTGTTTTTAATTATTTTTTAATAAAGTAAATCGAAATCCTTATTTTTTATATGTCAATTTACTTTATTAATTTTTTTTTTTTTTTACTAATTAAGGTTTTAATACTTAATAAATTAATTTTATTTGGTTATAAAAAAAAGTTGTTTTTCTTGTGTGGAGTTGTCTTGGTCCTGAATTGTCCTGGCGCTCAGTCGGCGGTGTAGAGATGTCTTGAACCCGTCTAGAGCTCCATTAGATAGTACTAAACCTCAGTAGCTTTCTGGCTATTGACGTAAGAGCTGCTTAGTAATCGACATGTCTTCAGAATACGATCGTCGAGCTGATGTTGTGGAGAGCTTTTGCGCCGGCCACAAAACCAAGGAAATCATTGAAGGGTTTAAATACTATAAAACCATTTCTATGATCTTTCAAAGGTATATGGGGCCTCGGACGATAAGGACAATTTGACGCCAGAATGCAAGACTCGTGAGAAACACTCTAGTGCCACCAGGACGCCTGAGTTAGTCGCCGACGTTGTCAAGGAGAACCTAAGCAAAAGCATTAGGACAATCACCAAAGAAATGGGCAGGTGTGCAAGTGACGCCACTTGAGTACATAAGATTTATAATGCAAATCCTACTTGACAATACGCCAGATTGTTCACTTGCTGCTGCTCATTTCCTTGACGGTCTTTACTGGGTGCTCCATACTTTCGGCCTTGTGCCACATTTAAGCTACGCTTAGTAAATCGCTATTCTTACAGATTGGTATACTTCGTCATGGTGCAATTGTTAAAAAAGTTTGTCGTGCACAACCAGTTACAACTGAATAGTGAGTTCAATCCTTACTGGGCGCTCCTTAATTTCGTCCTTGTGCCACATTTAAGCTACGCTTAGTAAATCGCTATTCTTACAGATTGGTATACTTCGTCATGGTATAATTGTTAAAAAAGTTTGTCTTGCACAACCAGTTACAACTGAATAGCGAGTTCAATCCTTACTGGGTGCTCCTTACTTTCGGCCTTGTGCCACATTTAAGCTACGCTTAGCAAATCGCCATTAATACGGGTTGAAATCAACAGAGAAACAGCAAGTAACCTTCCTAAAACGTTTTCTGTTAATGGCTGACAGAACAGGCAGCGTGAGAGACAATAAAAAGCATTGTTAAGAGCTACAAATAATAGGAAGATGTGGAGATTCATGATCACCCAGTTCTGATTGGACGCGGTACATAGAAGTTAGACTATTAGAATGCAATCTTTCTTACCCTCGCTCACCCAGAATTTGGCCTTGTGTCATACTAAGCTAAGCTTACATATCAGGAAGCACTGTTAGCGCCGTTGGCTATATGTTTTCAACTGAATAATGTAATTTGTTTATGAATGAACGCAGACCCCCGACCCTCGTCCATTCTCTTCCGCTTCCCCAAATCTTTTAATTCAGTCGAAGAAAGGGCACTGGTATTAACATTCCACCGTAGCTTCATTTTTTTGTCATTTTCTTTTGTCCGCTTTGTCGTTGCTTTCACGTTCATGTGTTTATTTTTCCTTATAGTTTATTTCAGAGCTGGGTTGTACGGCCATGTCACAACACGCTTGTTACTCGAAATGCTCTCATCACTAAGAGAGAGAGAGAGAGAGAGAGAGACTAGTTCCCTCATAGCAACACTGTTACAGCTAAATTTACAATCCGATACTGATAATGTATATTTATTCGATAATGACTTGAAAGGACTTTCCATGATTCAAATGGAACACACACACACACACACACACACACACACACACACACACAAATGTTTTCGTCCCTGTGGGTTTGTGGTATTTTGGTAAATGTAGGATTTGGTGAAGAGGGATGTGTTCTTGTGTTGAATGACTAAATTATAACGAATTATTGGGTCGCGAATCAGATTAGGTAGGCTTAGGACAGTCAGTGACAACCAGCCTCACCCCACTTCCCCTTCAGGCTTGTGACAAAATTGTACGTAAAAAATACAATAAATATACACACATATACAGCGATTTCCTAAGAGTGGCCTAGATGTGGCACAAGGCCGAAATTATGAAGCACCCAGTGATAATCGAACTCACTATTCAGTCGTAATTGATCTAGCGAGACAAGCTGTTGCAGTTTTTGGGGCATATGTTTACTAGTGAGCTAGCCTAAATGAGCTGACTCATTTTATAGTTCACCAATAGAAGGGTTAACCAATCAGAAAGCTCAAAATATTCAATGCGACGTGTATAAAGGCAGCCATTTTTTTTTCTCCCAAATTGTCTACACTGCCAACCTGATATCGAAGACTTAAAGAATTACTTAACAGTCGCTACTTTCTCTGAATCTTCACTGCCGACTTCTGATATTGAACAGATTACGGACTTCACTGGATTCCATATTCAGAGACTGCGGCAAACAAGAGTCATTGCACGACGTTCACACACACACACATACATACATGCCATATATGTGTGTGTATGTGTGTTTGAACCTTCGACGTCGTGTAATGCGCAGCAAGCTTGTCTCGCCTATATATATATATATATATATATATATATATATATATATATATATATGAATAAAAACAAAAGGAAAACTTCCTCAACTTCCTTTAAGAATTTTTTCTTTCCATGTCGACAATATAGTAATATTTCCCAGAATGATTCTGTCGATAAGACAAATTGGTATAAGAATAAAGTTAACATTAGCCAGAAAGAGGCTTACGCAGGAGCGTCTCTCTCTCTTTTTTTAAAATTTTGAATTTAATGTGACTATGACAAAAAAAAAACATTTCGGTTTCATTGTTAAAGATAAAGTCGGAAGATGAAATGCGTCGCAAAAAAAAACTAAGATATTTTCCAATTGTCATTTTTATAGCTGTTTGTCTTATCCACAGATTTGTTCTGGGAATTTTACTATAGAGCGTAGTGTAAATAACTTATGATTCACATACATACTCAGAAATATAGACCAGATACTGAAAGGCCGAAACGTTGTGATAATTATGGCAACAAAGATGAGGACAATATTCCGAATAATGTAAATAGTGTACATAATACACCATCTCAGAAATATAGACAGATACTGAAAGGCCGAAACGTTGTGATAATTAAAGATGAGGACAATAGTCCGAATAATGTAAATAGTATACATAATACCTCATCTTAGAAATATAGAATACTGAAAGGCCGAAATGTTGTGGATAATTATGGCAAAGATGAAGACAAAGATGGGGACAATAAATAATGTAAATAGTATACATAATACCTCATCTTAGAAATATAGACAGATACTGAAAGGCCGAAATGTTGTGATAATTATGGCAACAAAGATGAGGACAATATTCCGAATAATGTAAATAGTGTACATAATACCTCATATCAGAAATATAAACAGATACTGAAAGGCCGAAACGTTGTGATAAAACAAAATGAGGACAATATTCCGAATAATGTAAATAGTGTACATAATACCTCATATCAGAAATATAAACAGATACTGAAAGGCCGAAACGTTGTGATAATTATGGCAACAAAGATGAGGACAATATTCCGAATAATGTAAATAGTGTACATAATACCTCATCTTTAGAAATATAAACAGATACTGAAAGGCCGAAATTTGTGATAAATATGGCGACAAAGATGAGGACAATTCCGAATAATGTAAATAGTATACATAATGCCGCATCTCAGAAATATAGACAGATATAAAGGCCGAAACGTTGTGATAAATATGGCGACAAAGATGAGGACAATAGTCCGAATAATGTAAATGATTCTGTCTTAGAAATATAGACAAATTGTTGTATAATTATGGCAACAAAGATGAGGACAATATTCCGAATAATGTAAATAGTGTATTATAATACCTCATATCAGAAATATAAACAGATACTGAAAGGCCGAAACGTTGTGATAATTATGGCAACAAAGATGAGGACAATATTCCGAATAATGTAAATAGTGTCTAATACTCATCTCAGAAATTTTATAAATATGGCAACAAAGATGAGGACAATTTCGAATAATTAAATAGTGACATAATACCTCATCTTGAAAATAAACAGATACTGAAAGGCCGAAATGTTGTGATAATTATGGCGGATGAGGACAATATTACGAATAATGTAAATAGTAAAGAAATAAACAGATACTGAAAGGCCGAAACGATAATTATGGCAACAAAGATGAGGACAATCGAATAAAAATAGTGTACATAATACCTCATCTCATTAAACAGATACTGAAAGGCCGAAACGTTGTCATAAATATGGCGACAAAGATGAGGACAATATTCCGAATAATTGTCATTATCCTTAGAAATATAGACAGATACAGATTTGTTCTGGCAAAAAGTATGAAATATTCGAATAATGTAAGATACTGAAAGGCCGAAACGTTGTGATAATTATGGCAACAAAGATGAGTACATAATACCTCCGAAAAAAGGCCGAATAATTATGGCAACAAAGATGAGGACAATATTCCGAATAATGTAAATAGTGTACATAATACCTCATCTCAGAAATATAGACAGATACTGAAAGGCCGAAACGTTGTAATAAATATGGCGACAAGGATGAGGACAATAAATAATGTAAATAGTATACATAATACCTCATCTCAGAAATATAGACAGATACTGAAAGGCCGAAACGTTGACAAAATATGGCGACAAGGATGAGGACAATAGTCGAATAATGTAAATAGTGTACATAATACATCTCAGAAATATAGACAGATACTGGAAAAGCCGAAACGTTGTAATAAATATGGCGACAAAGATGAGGACAATCGTCCGAATAATGTAAATAGTATACATAATACCTCATCTCAAAATATAGACAGATACTGGAAGGCCGAAACGTTGTAATAAATATGGCGACAAAGATGTCTGAAAGGCCGAAACGTTGAATAAATATGGCGACAAAGATGAGGGACAAAGAATAATGAAATGGTATACATAATACCTCATCTCAGAAATATAGACAGATACTGGAAGGCCGAAACGTTGTAATAAATATGGCGACAAAGATGAGGACAATCGTCCGAATAATGTAAATATTGTACATATCCCTACCTCAGAAATATAGACAGATACTGAAAGGCCGAAACGTTGTAATAAATATGGCGACAAAGATGAGGACAATAGTCCGAATAATTTAAATAGTGTACATAATACCTCCTCAGAAATATAGACAGATACTGAAAGGCCGAAACGTTGTAATAAATATGGCGACAAAGATGATGGACAATAGGCCGAATAATGTAAATAGTATACATCTCATATCAGAAATATAGACAGATACTGAAAGGCCGAAACGTTGTAATAAATATGGCCAAAGAAACAATAGTTGTACATAATACCTCATATCAGAAATAAATATGAAAGCGAAACAAACAAAAAATGAGGACAATAGTCCGAATAATTTAAATAGTGTACATAATACCTCATATCAGAAATATACTGAAAGGCCGAAACGTTGTAATAAATATGGCGACAAAGATGAGGACAATAGTCCGAATAATTTAAATAGTGTACATAATACCTCATATCAGAAATATAGACAGATACTGAAAGGCCGAAACGTTGTAATAAATATGGCGACAAAGATGAGGACAATAGTCCGAATAATTTAAATAGTGTACAAAATACTTCATATCAGAAATATAGACAGATACTGAAAGGCCGAAACGTTGTAATAAATATGGCGACAAAGATGAGGACAATAGTCCGAATAATTTAAATAGTGTACATAATACCTCATATCAGAAATATAGACAGATACTGAAAGGCCGAAACGTTGTAATAAATATGGCGACAAAGATGGGACAATAGTCCGAATAATTTAAATAGGACAAATACCTCATAATAAAATATTAAAAAGGCCGAAACGTTGTAATAAATATGGCGACAAAGATGAATAGTCCTAATTTAAATAGTCAGAAATATATCAGACAGATACTGAAAGGCCGAAACGTTGTAATAAATATGGCGACAAAGATGAGGACAATAGTCCGAATAATTTAAATAGTGTACATAATACCTCATATCAGAAATATAGACAGATACTGAAAGGCCGAAACGTTGTAATAAATATGGCGACAAAGATGAGGACAATAGTCCGAATAATTTAAATAGTGTACATAATACCTCATATCAGAAATATAGACAGATACTGAAAGGCCGAAACGTTGTAATAAATTAAAGATGAGGAATAGTCCGAATAATTTAAATAGCGAAATATAACAGATACTGAAAGGCCGAAACGTTTGTAATAAATATGGCGACAAAGATGAGGACAATAGTCCGAATAATGTAAATAGTGTACATAATACCTCATCTTAGAAATATAGACAGATCTGAAAGGCCGAAATGTTGTGAAATTATAAACAATATTCCGAATAATGTAAATAGTGTACATAATACTCATCTCAGAAATATAAACAGATACTGAAAGGCCGAAACGTTGTGATAAATATGGCGACAAAGATGAGGACAATGTCCGAATAATGGCATAATACCTCATCTTAGAAATATAGACAGATACTGAAAGGCCGAAATGTTGTGATAATTATGGCAACAAAGATGAGGACAATATTCCGAAAATGTAAATAGTATACATAATTGAAATATAGACAGATACTGAAAGGCCGAAAC